TGTGGCCGTTTCTCAAGCGCGAGGAAACTGGCTTCCAAGCCAATATTTCAAGGATAGTACTTCATCGAGTGCCGCCGAAGGACTGTTCCATAGTGATGGCGAGATGAAACCTTATGAAGCTTTGAAGCTTTCCAGCCAATTGGTTCGCAAAAGGGTTCATCTCATGAGGCTTCATCATGGGCTTCATTTGAACACAAACCCCCTGTTATTCAAAGTGTGTAAAACAGGCAGATTGGACATCTCAACAGTGTGCTGTATCTCATACCGAGTTCCCAATGAGTAAAGCCTTAGAATAACTCTAAACAACAAACATAAAATCATATGTTCATGTTAACAATATTGTTTTTATACCAGTTGATTGTGATTGAAAAGCCTAAGGAGGCTGGCAAACATTGCAAAGAGGGATTTGTATTCCTTAGTAATATTCATAAACTTAACCATGTTGTAGCCTGAGAAAGGCTAAACCATATCAAAGAATACATTTATTAACTACATTATCTCATTTAGCTGTAGCTTTTATAAACAACAAAAAATACGTATTGACGAGTCGTTGAACCAGGGACCCTGCGGTCGGGAGTCAACTGCTTTCCAGCTGAGCCACAGCACACACGATGAATCTCCCTGAAAACACTGTAACATATTTATTCCTCTATTTATTCATTCATGTTTTTATTCCTACATTTATTTATGCTTGTATCTATTTATACTTACGACATGTTCCGACCTCTATATACAGTAAGTGAGGTTCTGAGCTCTTTTAATTCCATCATGTCACCAGCGGGCCCGGGTACAGGAGGGGTATTATGGTTCTTATTATGTCACCATGGGTATTATGAGCGTTGTGGTTCAACGGTTCAACCGATCTGAATCGCTTCCTGAAGCAGTCACGTGGTATCGACAGGCAGCCTGTCGATACCACGTGACTGCTTCAGGAAGCGATTCAGATCGGTTGAACCGTTGAACCACAACGCTCATAATACCCATGGTGACATAATAAGAACNTATTCAGAGCTCTGCTGCCTTGGCTACAATCTTTCATCGTTGCCGTTGTATGATAGGTGTTTAGCTACGGTATTTAGCGTCGACAGCACCTCCGCTTTTAGGGTTGACGTAGACCCAAACGTTGTCTGGAGGTAGTGATGTTACGTATTGCGCCGAGACTTCGGAGCGTGTGTCGAGTAGTCCCCGAAGCTTTTTGTGAAGCATGTATCGAGGCTTGTATCGTTTTGGGCCAGTGACGTCATCGATGACAAACGAAGCCTCGCTGCCTGTCGATACCACGTGACTGCTTCAGGAAGCGATTCAGATCGGTTGAACCGTTGAACCACAACGCACATAATACCCATGGTGACATAATAAGAACCATAATACCCCTCCTGTACCCGGGCCCGCTGGTGACATGATGGAATTAAAAGAGCTCAGAACCTCACTTATATAGAGGCCGGAACATGTCATAAGTATAAATAGATACAAGCATAAATAAATGTAGGAATAAAAACATGAATAAAAACATGAATAAATATGTTCCAGTGTTTTCAGGGAGATT